ACAACACATCTTCATCGTTGGTTCCCAAACAGAGCACCTTTTGAAGTCGAAGAGAAAGAATTTCTTTCTTTGATGGAATCAATTTTTATTGACGTGGAATTTGATGGTCCTTTATTCAAAGTCTCAGTTGGGGATTTACGTTGCTTATTCTTTTGAAGACTTCTGGAACACCGTATTCTCGTCTAAAATGCCTTATTGCGGATCAACCGTAAGATGAATAAGAATCACTGCGCGCAGCTGGAAATAAAATTCTTGTCAGGAATAATACGAAAATGTCATGAACCTGATGGAACAACGACTGTTCCACTGTTCATCCAGTTCCCAAGTGCGACACTGTAGTAAAATAAATATCATTCCTTCTGCATAAAGTTGTGAATTTCATGCAATCAGGACACAGCTTTCACCCCGAATGAAAGCAAGCGTGCATGCATAAGCCAGCATGAAGTAGTTTAAAATAGGCTTCACTTTCTATCATACAGCTGAACTCAATGCTTGATCGGATTCACTCTTATATGAATACAGCACAGTATTAACTATAACATTGTGCCAAGTTGAAAATAGAGAAGCATGAACATTCCTCTCGTAAGCTCGGGCGGAGTCAATTATCACGGACATTTTCCCCAGTATTTTGGCACAGGCGGATTCTTTCTGCAGCGATCTTGTCAACGGATTTCTCTGTATAATGTATTTTTGTTTGTTATCATGCATATAGGGTTCTGCACCCAATTCACAGGGATTTTCTACAACGAATTGTTTTCCTGTTAGTTCCTTGAATTTAGTTGTTCAGAGAGTCAACCTGTAAATACTGTACATCTTTGTGTGAAGAAAAGTACTGTGCGATAATATGCACCAGAATACGCTGGAATTGCTGGATTGATGTGATGATGCAAATTCCATGTGATTCAAAATTGACTTCACATTCTGCTCCATCATCTGCTGCAATACAGCGTTCGGAGCAAGGATTTCAGGGTCATCATCAGCAATACTGAGCAAGGTTTGCAGGGTGGCAATAATTTTCAGTTCAACCCAAAATTATTTAAATTTCAAAATAAATTAACACTTGGCTCGCTCAAGTTTTCCATGTGGAGAAAGGATTGAAGAAACAGCTGGGAAACATAAAATAGTTACATGATTTATGCCTCGGGAGATTCATCAGAAGAGCGGAAACTTACTGACTTGGCGATAAGCGAAGATCTTCCTGCAGATGTGCGGGTGGATTTGGAATGAACAGCTAGGGCACATCACATGTAATGCAATTTAGATACGTGTTAGATACGTATTCACTTGCACATGACGTACACAGTATTTCAACTGCGATTTTGACGCCGTCAGTTGAGCAGTCCTGTTAGTTGTCGAATGTTATTGTTTTTAGTAAATCATAGATGTCGCTCGAAGATACTAAGGTCCAGCAGTCTACTCTGTCCCTGTCCTTCGCTCGGTTTGAGAATGTGAATCAGGAACAGTGGAATATATATCCTAAATCTTATACAGAAAAATTCGCGAAAAAGTAAAAAGAAATGTCTTGACGAAGTTATACTGCATTTAACTCATATAGTGTTACTGTAGACGTTTATTATTAGAATTTAAAAAATCAGTCATATCTACTCCTATCCGATTTGGCAATTTTTTTATCATTTTCTGCACCTCAGTACCTTCCAAAATATCGTTAATCTCACAAAACAAATAATCATCCCTGCATGTTCTGCATATAGATCTGGAGTACAAGATGTAAAAAAGGAAGGACAAACCACACAACAGCTATAATTTAACCCTGCACAAACTTTCTCATTTGGATTAATTAAAATTCTCATTTGTCACCGTGACCCTCATCAGCATTACTATGTTAATAATCATTAATAGTAATCATAGAAAATCCTAAACCTTGGATCACTTGACAAAATCTGCATTTTTCGAATGGTTTAATCGAATCTATACGCTTTTTCCTTCGGTGGACATACTGTATTCCACAGCGAGATTTCAGCGTTTATTCATGATGCTTATTGACGCGTGCATTTCTCGGTAGACGTCCCAACTTTAGCAGGGTGCAACATTTTAACGCTGAATAATAATTTCACACATATCTGTTGCTGATGAGTTTCGCATTTTTATGTGTAATAAAGACTTCTGATACTTTATTTAATATCCGGTTTTAATATTGTTTTTGAGAAATACAAAATTTCTGCTGCTCTGCTTGAAGGTCAGGTTGAGTATCATATTCAAGCAGAGCCATTATCTGTAAAGAGGCTCCCAGCCAGTCCCAGGCTGATTGGTGTGCTTCATTGTTTTCCTAATCAAATTTATGGTTTCCAAAACTTCAAGACCTTAATATGATGCACAAACCGAAAGTTTCAAGGGGCCCGCACATATTCCCGACTCGGGAGTTTCCGACGCCCCGCAAGCAGTAACTCGGCTCCGCCCCGCTGGCGTACCCCCTCCCGGACCTGGGTCTTTCCTTGGGTGATGTTCCCTTGTTAAAATCCTGAAAAGCATTAGGGATACCAGTTTGGTCCACTTTCATTATTTGTTCATTCTGATATTTTCATTATTGGAGGGGGTTAGCTTAGGTAAGGTTAAGTTAGGTTAGGTAAGGTTAGGTTAAATTAGCTTAGGTTAGGTTAGATTGTTTGGTTAGGTTAGGTTAGGTTGTTAGGTTAGATTAGGTTGTTAGGTTAGGTTAGGTTAGGTTGTTAGGTTAGGTTGTTAGGTTAGGTTAGGTTAGTGAATTTCATGCAATCAGGACACAGCTTTCACCCCGAATGAAAGCAAGCGTGCATGCATAAGCCAGCATGAAGTAGTTTAAAATAGGCTTCACTTTCTATCATACAGCTGAACTCAATGCTTGATCAGATTCACTTTTATATGAATACAGCACAGTAACTAAAAGATTGTGCCAAGTTGAAAATAGAGAAGCATAAACGTTCCTCTCGTAAGCTCGGGCGGAGTCAAATAATCAATTTTCATCGTCTTTATCGCGGACATTTTCCCCAATATTTTGGCACAGGTGGATTCTTTCTGCAGCGATCTTGTCAACGGATTTCTCTGATGTATAATGTATTTTTGTTTGTTATGCATATATAGGGTTCTCCACCCATGTCACAGGGATTATCTACAACGAATTGTTTTCAGCTGATGGTCCCTTGAATTTCGTTGTTCTGAGAGTCAACCTGTAAATACTGTACATCTTAGTGTGAAGAAAAATACTGTACGATAATATGCACCAGAATACCCTGGAATTGCTGGATTGATGTGATTATGCAAATTCCATGTGATTCAGAATTGACTTCACATTCTGCTCCATCATCTGCAGCAATACAGCGTTCGGAGCAAGGATTTCAGGGTCATCATCAGCAATACTGAGCAAGGTTTGCAGGGTGGCAATATTTTTCAGTTCAACCCAAAATTATTTAAATTTCAAAATACATTAACACTTGGCTCGCTCAAGTTTTCCATCTGGAGAAAGGATTGAAGAAACAGCTGGGAAACATAAAATAGTTACATGATTTATGCCTCGGGAGATTCATCAGATTCATCTTCTGAGATTCATCAGAAGAGCGCTTTGAATGACTGAACCGCTATTCGCTTCTAGAAGGACGTCTACACGCCCACCTAAACCTTACTTGTCGATCCCGTGTAGTGTACATTACGTTAAATCTATGCACAATCTATGCATAAGTGAACGTGGTGACGTACACAGTATTTCAACTGCGATTTTGACGCCGTCAGTTGAGCAGTCCTGGTAGTTGACGAATGTTATTGTTTTTAATGAATTGTAGATGTCGCTAGAAGATGATATGGTCCATCAGTCTACTCTGTCCACGTCCTTCGCGCGGTTTGAGAATGTGCTGTATTAGCATAAAAACCATCCCTGCATGTTTTGCAGAGATCTGGTGTACAAGATGTAAAAAAGGAAGGACAAACCACACAACAGCAATAATTTAACCCTGCACAAACTTTCTCATTTGAATTAATTAAAATTCTCATTTGTCACCGTGACCCTCATCATTAATATATGAAGCCATGGAAAATCCTAAACCTTGGATCGCTTGACAAAATCTGCATTTTTCGCATGGTGTAATCGAATCGATACCCTTTTTTCTTCGATGGACATACTGTATTCCACTGCGAGATTTCTGCGTTTTTTATGATGCTTATTGCAGTGCATTTCTCATCGTCCCAACTTTAGCAGGGTACAACATTTTAACACTGAATAATAATGTCACACATATCTGCTGCTGATGAGTTTCACATTTTTGACGTCTGATACTTTATTTAATATCCGGTTCTAATATCGTTTTAGAGAAATACAAAATTTCTGCTGCTCTGCTTGGAGGTCAGGTTGAGTATCAAATTAAAGCAAAGCCATTATCTGTAAAGTGGCTCCCAGCCAGTCCCAGGCTGATTGATGTACTTCATTGTTTTCCGAATCAAATTTATAGTTTCCGAAACTTCAAGACCTTAATATGATGCGCGAACCGAAAGTTTCAAGAGGCTAGACTGATGCATGGAAGGAGCGACCTCTGCTGTTGCGTTCTGCAAGTTACTCCTTCAGCTGCCTTTCCATTCAAGAGGTAGAGTAATAGAGTTGTGAGGGGCACTAATGTCACGTCACTTAACAGCATTTTCTGCCGAAGGCTATGTTAATTGTTTATAGACAGGAGCACTTCTTTATTCTGCACTTGGGAATAATTTCGAAGGACTGGCAAGAACACTTGCATGATTTTCATTTGTACTCAGCATTTGGCGGTTTTGACATCATATCCACAGAAGAAAAATCTTCACAGCAATAATAAATCAATTGAAAATGAAATGCAAGCCTTCCACAACAATCGTCATCATCAGAGGCTTGTATCTGCGTACAAATCCGTCTGAGTAAGTTTTGGAGCTGCTTGAGCATAGGGTTGCCTTGATCTTGATCGAAATCGTCGTCTTCGGCTGGTATATACATAATACAAACAATTCAGTTATAATTAATTCCTAATTAATGACGTGAAATTATAGGCTCACTTCTGGGCATAAGATGGTCGTCTGGGATGAGGTCCATCTCTGGGAACTTCTCTGTAATTCCAGATACCAGTGGTGGGTAAAGGAGAAGCTACTACCAAATCCATGCCCATGGCCAAAACGAGCGCTAGGATCTAAAAATAAATAAATGAATAAATGAATTTAAAAGAAGTTCAAAATTTTCACTTTTGAGTTTCTCCGGGACGATACACGCTAGAAATTTTTTTTCAATTAATAGCAGCAAATATTTCGTGAATATATGCAAGACAATGCAGCATTTTTTCTCGGATACATTGTTTGAAAATACAGTACAGTACGATTTGGAATGCCTTCACATCGGAAGATTTGAAGAAGAAAAGCATGATCGCTTAATTGGAAGTGTATTCTGACAAGCACAAAAACTAAATGGATATAAATTTTCGATTTATTTCCGAACCACAACCACGAGAAATAGAATTGAATTCATTTAAATTTCCCGAATTTTACTGAACCACCGCTTGGTGTAGGAACAAATCAAGGCTAATTTGGTAAACACCATGAGGGTAATCACTGCTTAGTATATTTCCACGTTAATAATGCATTTCTGACCCAGACAAAATCAAAAGATAAATTCATAATTTTACCAGAAAGGCCGAAAACTGCATGATTTTTGCTGAGGCGTCAGGCGCTCGCAATTCCCAATCGGAAAAAAAAACCGAATAAGAATTATGTGCCTTCTGCTTCCACACTGAGTCCGAGCTCAACTCACCATGTTTTATATATACCCTAGGTCTCATCCTTGGGGTAGTTTTCCCCTGCAGCATGAGGACCAAACGCATGAAATAAGAGAGCATGATTTACATAACAATATCTTGGTCATTGCCCTTTATATGGAAGTGGACTTCCGGTCATTCCTGATTATTTTTGGTCAGTCACTTCAAGGTCCCTTGGGGGGGATTTGAAAAGCTAAAATCACACGCTCTGGGGGAGTCTTCCACGGCATATATTGTTCCTGTGCTTGAGGAAGGCCAGATGAATGCATAGATAACATTTTAGAAATATATAAAAATCAGGTCGACTTTTGCCTCACCTGCCTGTAAATTCATCCCGGCGAATTATATTTTCAAGAACGTGAAAAAATGAAGAAATCTTAGGGAACAGATGAAGTTCACGTTCGCTCAATAATAATTTGTTCACTCATTTGCACGTACTATGCATAATATGCTGCGTAATCTTGCTACGATTTAGCGATCAGGAACAGTGGAATATATATATCCTAAATTTTATACAGAAAAATTCGTGAAAAAGGAAAAAGAAATGTCTTGACGAAGTTATACTGCATTTAACTCATATAGTGCTACTGTAGACGTTTATTATTAGAATTTAAAAAATCAGTCCTATCTACTCCTATCCGATTTGGCAATTATTTTATTATTTTCTGCACCTAAGCACCTTCCAAAGTATCGTTAATCTCACGAAACAAAGCGTCATCGTTTAGACCCTCAAGACTGTTCAAAGAAACTGTTCCAGATCACTATATAATTTACTGTACTAAATCTGGGATGAATGTGATCTACTTACTACCTTTTATCCGCACTTTATTATTAACTTTTGTAATACTAGCGAGTCTTTTTTTACTCAGGCACAAGTTGTGTTAGTTATACCAAGTCTATATTCATAGATGTACTTGATTATGAATACTGCAAAATTTTACCTGCAACCTCACAAATTCCTCACACATTTGCAACTGAATTTTGCAGCTGCGAAGATGAAACGTATTTTTGACTTGAGCCACGAACATGGAAATCCTCGTACTTCGTGTGACATTCCCTATTTTTTTTAAATGTCATTTTATTGGTGTCCCGGTTATTTCCTTCAGCAACCAATTGAAAAGGGCTCGATGAGAAAATCCCGCGGACCCAAAAATTTTGCGGAGAGTACCAAAATCCCACAATCTGAATTTTTGCATCAGAAAAAGCCTTTTTTCGTAATTCACTTGGGCAATAAAAAATTATGCTTGCATCCCGTCCCTCTCAGCTCATCTTCACCAAGACTGATGAATCGGTAACTGATTCGATGGAATCAGTCGTATGCGACTAATTTTTGCTTACGGATGTATTTGCTCCTTATTTCGAGAGCTTTAAATCTTCGATAAAAACATGTTTTTCTTTTAATTCATGCACGCTTCCAAGAAATATGGATAATTTCTGGAAGTTTATTCTAATGCTCGAACCAAGCACTGCAATTTAAATTATGAACTAAACTGAAGTACAGTACAGTACAGTATTAGGGAAATGATGCATCATAATGCGCAATCAGTACAGATGTCACTGCTACATATTTCGTTCTGCGGTCTACGTTAATTTTAACATTCATTCCTATCTTCTGCAAGGATTCAGAAATATTATTCTAGGCAACGAATCTGTTTTCAATTTCGCTCATATAGTGTATAAACTGTATATTGCCAAATCTTCGTTGACGTGCCGTGAATAAATGAAGAATAACTCTTCCTTAAAGAATTGTTTCGCAAAATCCGAAAGACGAGATTGTTGCGATAGATGTCGGTCCATTCCGAGGACGGTGAGACGAAATAAAATCATCGTTAGAATTCATGTATACTCATTTTTGCATTGACTAAAATTTAATGCGTTCGCCTTAAATTTATGTTCAATTTTATCGTATAGGCGTAATTTGGAATCTTATAGTAACAGGGGTTCCTTATTTTTGGGAGAGATTCCGCACACTAGATGAATGATGGAAAATAGGCGTGAAATAATAATTGAAAACATTATGATCGCTCAGAAAAAAATGAGTCCGTGTTCAACACAATCAATATGGTTCAGATATAAGTATCTACATGAACTAATAAAATACTTCAAAAATTGACCTGCAACCATACAAATTCCTCACACATTTGCAACTGAATTTTGCGGCTGCGAAGGTGAAACGTATTTTTGACCTGAGCCACGAACATGGATATCCTTGTACTTCATGTGACATTCCCTTTTTTTAATGGTCATTTTATTGGTGTCCCGGTTATTTCCTTCAGCAACCAATTGAAAAGGGCTCGATGAGAAAATCCCGCGGACCCAAAAATTTTGCGGAGAGTACCAAAATCCCACAATGTGAATTTTTGCATCAGAAAAAGCCTTTTTTCGTAATTCACTTGGGCAATAAAAAATTATGCTTGCATCCCGTCCCTCTCAGCTCATCTTCACCAAGCTTGATGAACTGATTCGATGGAATCAGTCGTATGCGACTAATTTTTGCTTACGGATGTATTTGCTCCTTATTTCGAGAGCTTTAAATCTTCGATAAAAAAAAATGTTTTTCTTTTAATTCATGCACGCTTCCAAGATATATGGATAATTTCTGGAAGTTTATTCTAATGCTCGAACCAAGCACTGCAATTTAAATTATGAACTAAACTGAAGTACAGTACAATATTAGGGAAAAGGGTGCATCATAATGCGCAATCAGTACAGATGTCACTGCTACATATTTCGTTCTGCGGTCTACGTTAATTTTAACATTCGTTCCTATCTTCTGCAAGGATTCAGAAATATTATTCTAGGCAACGAATCTGTTTTCAATTTCGTTCATATAGTGTATAAACTGTATATTGCCAAATCTTCGTTGACGTGCCGTGAATAAATGAGGAATAACTCTTCCTTAAAGAATTGTTTCGCAAAATCCGAAAGACGAGATTGTTGCGATAGATGTCGGTCCATTCCGAGGACGGTGAGACGAAATAAAATCATCGCACGAATTCATGTACAGTATACTCATTTTTGCATTGACTAAAATTTAATGCGTTCGCCTTAAATTTATGTTCAATTTTATCGTATAGGCGTAATTTGGAATCTTATAGTAACAGGGGTTCCTTATTTTTGGGAGAGATTCCGCTACATTCCAAGACAGAAATTGTTTGTGGACATCTGCTGATTTCCATATTTATTGTGATCAAAAAGCATGCATAACTCTGCCTCTGATCATTAGTGGAGTTGATAATGATGACTTTATTCGCAGACTGACGAAGGTTGCAATTTTTCCTTGGAATCAGTTTTCTGCGCATTGACAGGCATTTCAATAAGAACCCGCTTATGTTGGCATGGTGTAAATGATTTTCACGTGAGCCAAACATCTGAAGGACATTCCATAAAATTAACTGTTCCTAGGTTTTCATTTTGAATTATGCAAGCTCCACCGGATCTGGAAGCGGTTCGAAGTGATGCAACCGGAATCATATCAATGTAAAAAACTCGAAAATATATAGCGATCTTATCTACGAGAAACACCAGCATATGCCTCATTTATTCAGAACTCCTTTTTCCCGCAAAAAAAAAAATAGACTCGAAAGCCAAATACTATTCACGTTCACCTTTTGTACCGGACTTGGAACGCAAAAACCAGAATGCAATACAGCAGTCAAGTAAAATTCAGTTTGGAAAATTCAGAAAACGAATTGATGGGAATTTGTGCGCAATACGGTGGCAGACATTCAGCATTTTTTTACTCTGATTTTGAAAGGCTCAAGAAATTGGAATCAAAATTTTCCTAGTTTTGATCAACGAGTGGCGCTGCAACAACAGCATCTTTGTGGCCATCAGCTTCTTGGATTCCGTGCGGGTACATGCCCTAAATTGAAAGGAAACCCCCAATAATGAGATTACCTCAAAATTTCAATCAGAAAAATAAATTAATGTTTCACTCAAATTTTATTGGTACCAGTAATTTCTCTTTGGTCGCATGAAATGAAAGTGAAACTCACGTCCCACTCCCTTTGCATGAGAAGAATCGTCGTGTTGTGCAAAATTGGACCGAACAGAGGGTTCATCTGGTGCATGTACGTTGTCATCCAACTAGAGAAATTCAATTCAGACAAAAATCATACAATCGATGCCAGAACCTTCTAGGAAACTAAATTTTTCTAATTAAACCGCTTCATTCGAGTTTTTTCTTGTGTGATCCCGATGGAATGAAAGATATACTCACAGTAATCCGAAGCAGAAGCCAGATATAACCAACGCCACTTGATACGTTCTGCAATGATTTTTGAGAAGAATCGTATATTAAATCACAAATAACTGGTTTATATTCATCAACACAAAATGCACAAAATATGCCTCACCCTCGGTTTGGCCCTTTTCGCACAAGCAGCGGGGAAATCAGCACAATTACTCCGCAAATTACGGACACTGCGATGACAGGTTCAATACCGAAACCCATTTTCTTTTCAACACTTTATCGCCTACTGGAACAAAATGAATATGCATTCGTGTCATTTTTATCCGGAAAATTTCTCGATCATGAAAAAAAAACAATCGCAGTTTTGATGAATCAATTGCCGAATTGAACATTCGCAAAAGATAAAATTCGTAACTCGCCATGGAAGAAAAGCTGCGCAATCGAATTTTCAGCGCAGTATAGTAGTTTCAGTGATGCCGAATTGAGCATACTGTACTTCCCACACGATAAAATACAACTGAAAACATCATGCACTGCCATATTTTAAGGACACCGAACACCACCGACACAAATATGCAAGTCGTCGAACGGAGATTCTTGCCTTGCCCCGGGGGCTCCATGCACAGACTGACTGTAAAAAATAATTTAATGAAACCTGTTCCTTGAATGATTATAATCCATGGTTGTCTGGTGGGGTGCTAGCTTGCATCACCTGACATGCGTATTTTTTGCATCTGCAATCAGGTCCACGCATCTATTTTGATAAATTTCTCTCTTTGCTATTCATCCTTGATGCCATAAATAAATGCTGTCCTTTACTCTCTCTTTCTCTCCCTCTCTCACTGTTATTCTGTAATGCTCTGAAGGGCTACACAAACTCAGGGGAAGAATGGAAGAATTCCACCATGTGTGATTTCCTGAAGAACCCAACAACCTCTCTGTCTTATTACCATCTCCTTGATATTCTTTTCTCCTGAGTTTGTGTCTTGATGGCTCTTGAGTGAGGTGAGAAAATTTGCTTTGATGTGTAAATGATGAATTTTAACTCAACTGGATCCTCATTTAAACGTGGAGACAATGGCCATGCTTCTGATGCAGTGTAGTTGTAACTGCTAGAGGTTATTTGAATTCGATTTTGCTTTTCATTCATTGTTACCAATTTTAGTTTACTTGCGAGCTCAATAATACTCTTGAGCACACCAAAGTGGTAAGATAATTTGGAACATTAACCAGCACAGAAATAAAGAAAAAAATTACAAGCGAACGTATTTGAAGATTTTTTTCTGTCGTCTGTCTTTTGATGAGAATATTTCTTCAAAGGATTGCTTATTCCGAAAATGCAGCTTATGATTGAGTTTTGAGATGCCTTTGAGATGGGGCAAATAATTAAATGTGGATTATTCGCAGATATTATTATATTTTTTATTTATTTATTTTTTATTCAGTACAGCTGGGATTCTGATGACCTTCGTGTATGAAGGATACAAGTGATATACCTCGTAATTCAACCTCGCACAATTCGATGTTCAAATTTGCTATGAGGTTGACTCTTGATTCGACCTCTGCTGCACAATTCAACCTTTGAAGAGGCATGAAAGGTCAAATGCCATGTAGAAAACATGCCATTAGACATTGTCTCACAATTTGAATGCATTGCAATTCAACCCCTAGTCCAGCAACAGATTAGGGTTGAATTGCAAGGTACCACCTGTACAATAAATATTCTGACACTGTCTTTGAATGGAAAATACAGTAATTCCATATGCTATACAGATAGTTGATTTCAAAAAATTATGTCAATATCTCCAATCATTTTCCTTGTATAAAAGTAGCATTGGTGTGGAAAATTGTTTTGCGCACCACTTCGACTGACTGTCTTGTTTTTCACACATTCTCAGAGAAAACGATCAATTTACTCAATGGCGCGCCGACAAAATCGGCGTGCCGAAACAAATTGTCAAAAGCCATCTGGCTCATATACAGTAAATGCGTCAAAGAAAGGAGACTATCTCCCTTTCTGAGAAAACCAGTACAGTAAAGCAATCCCCGGTTTTTACTGGGGTAGAATGCGCAACATTACCGGAATGTCGGGCCAAAAGACTGTTTTACAACCGTATTTAATGACCCCGAGAGCATTCAACTGAGCACTCAGTTCTCCATCCTGAGCCAAAATTTCGGAATTTCGGATTGGAAATAAAGTGTGTGTGTGGTGTTGCCAATTACAAAGCTGATGAACAGGAACTCGTTGTCCATTGATTCCACGAAATTAATTGTGCTCAGGATACTTTTTGATGCTCAAGGGTGGGTTTTCAATCCTTCCAGTTATTTTATTCCTTTCTTCTCTATATATTTTTAATTGAGTGAGGCATTTGTTGAAGTATGGAATTATAAATTAAAACTTTGACATTACTCAGATATGACGAAACAGTCAAACTATTCATCATTCACAAATAAGCGTGTGTAAGGCATATTTTGCATATATTCTCATTGGATCTATTTTCAGGTAGACAGCACCTTCAAAATTCCACCAGGAATGTTGAAGGTTCAATATTTCTTTCCTGAGTCACGTTTTTTTTCTGTCATTTTATTCTGAGTTCTGACGAGTTTCCGATTCAAAATTGAATAAACGCGCGAGGCCAGGCTTCACGAAGTATGTTAGCAGTACTGTATTCAGCATTATGCGCAAATTATCCTTCATTTGAACTTTTACTTTAGTAAGACCGGCTTATTCCAGTCCGTTATTTGTGATGGAGAAGGAGCGAGAAATTTTTCAATCAAAATACGTGGTATTCAAATACATGCTCCAAGCTCCTTTCACTTCGACAAAATATTCGGGAATCACCTGGAATATTTCAAACAAAACTCATATGTGGATTGCACAATTTGTTGCATGATCTGGAATATTGGCATGATCTCTGGAGCATTTATACAAACCATTCGTGAATGAATGAATGAATGAATGAATGACCAGAACACTTCATTTGCCGCTTTTCAGCATTCACAAGGTTCACTCAAGATTTCCACAATCAAACCCCCCTTCCCACCCAACCCAAATCCACTCAATGACATTTTAATTACTTAAGAGCAGGAAAGCACAAATTGCTGACAAAAATAAAAGAAAATACAATACAACATGAAATACAGTACAACATGAAATACAACTGGACATCTGACATGTACACATACACCTATTCATTCCCTGTCATTGGTAACAAAATATATGTAAAAATTAATTAAAAGCACAAGGTCTTCAGCTTGTTTCTGTATGAGGTTTAGTTGAATGAACAATTTACAGAGAATTTTTGATGAGAAATCATATAAAGCCAACAATTTATCTTGACCCTTTAAGATTTCAAAAAGGGTCTCTTCATTGAATTCATGTACTTGTAAATCTATCTTAAGCTTGTTTCTAACAGTATGAAATGCTGGACATAAAAAGAGAAGGTGCTCTGGTGATGCGCAAACTAATTTATTTATGCTGCTGGTGTTACACCACTTAGACACTTTTGAAAATTGGATGAATTTTTTACTAAACTGCCATGAATTTATCAACCATTTGTGATTATAATTATGAGGGTTGCCCTAAAGTTCATACAGGTTCAACGTATCCATTCAAGCATGACACTCTGCCCATGTAACTGCTATTGAATTACAGTATGCATATTGAGAAAATAGATTTTTTAAATATTTAATTGTCTTCGATGAAATTATTTTGCTTGATCTCAATGGGAAGTGTGGAGCCTAATTAATTTCAATTGATTCTCATCAATAACATCCCATCATTGTGTCATTGTCACTTTTCTTGTCATGAAAACTTGAACTCCATTAATTGTCCCCGCCCATATAATCCTCCTGATGCTTCTTTCTATATACTCGTAGGTAACACTGCATGTCTACATACAACATAGTATATTCCAGTCGGTTTCCTTTGACCCATATTTTATTCAAGAAACAACAATGACAATGTTTTGGAAGAAAAAAAATACACCCGCTTTCTCTATATGAAGTTAAATCGATTCTCCAAGGACTGACTTGCATCGATCCAGGATGTTTTCCTGTTGGGGCCTTGAAAACATTGTGGTAACTGATGACAATATACGCTCCCATGTACAGTATTCGTCTTCGTTTGATTTTATTCATGATCATGTTTGGCTGACTGATATTATGTGGGCGCCATCTATATGCTGCACAAGAATATCTTAGATTGAGGCAAGTAACAAATGTTTGTGATTAAATACCAAGTGAACGATTTAGTTCTGATCACCTTGCGGTGCTCCAGAGGGCAGGGGAAATTGAAATATTATTCCTAGAGTTGAAGCAAAAATGTGCATCGGAATATTATAAGAGCAAAAAATTGCTGCACGTTGTCTTCATCAATGTCCGTGAATCGATTTCCAATTTTAGGCGAACCCATTTGAGAGAAAATCTAAATTGATGTCTCATATGTTGGGATTGTGTCTGCTATATCAGTTTGTAAGTGAAAAAGCCCTTCTGAACCTTATTTTTTACATTGTTGTTCTTTCCAACGATTTTGTCAATTGTAATGTACATCTTTTTTATGAGCCATGGACCCATGGTCATGTTGCACAGTATTTTTCACCATTGTCAGAGATGATGTGGGTTGGGCTTAGGTTGTGGGAATCTGGCAGGCAAGAGCTTCAAGTGAAGTCTTGCTGCCAGGCTAACATTATGTTCTCCATTCTCTTTTCCATGCAGTTCACCACCGGTTAGCTGCATTGCAATAAACTGGCTGCACAGCAAGGACTTCCAATTCACACACATCAGTAGCCACAAGCCCAGTTTGTATTCCAGGGAAACCCTTTGTCTGTGTGGCACCCTCTACTGTGACCCCACAATTGTGAAACCAAATGGCCATTTGCCCATATAGCTTTGAATTACTTGCTTAATGAAATTTTCAGGGCAGTTTATCAAGTCCATTATCATATACCAATGCACAACAAACACTTGTGTACTTTCCTGTTATCTCAGTGCCCATTTTTCTTTGTCTTGTGAATTCAGCATTTGTTAGTTTAGGTTAGATCAGGTTATGTTGATTGAAATATATTTGTAACTAACATGACCTAACCTAACCTAACTTTACCTAACCACCTCCCAAAATCAGTTTCAGCAGAAACCCAAAGAAAGCAGAAACTGATTATGGGAGGCGGTTAGGTGAAGTTAATTACAGCACTTACTATAATAAAATTACAATAATGCTTTTAAAAGCATCACAGAAAAATGTTTTTTACAGGGTAAAATATGCTTCTAAAAGAGTCACAAGTTATTTTGACTCTTTCAAAAGCATCACTGAAAAACGTTTTTAACAGCATAAGAAACGCTTTTGAAAGCGTCAGCCTCTGATGCTTTCAAAAGCGTCATGGAAAAACATTTTTAACAGCGTAAGAAACGCTTTTGAAAGCGTCAGCCTCTGACGCTTTTGAAAGCGTCACGGAAAAACGTTTTTGACTAGGTTGAAAACGCTTTCAAAAGCGTCAGACTCTGACGCTTTCAAAAGTGTCACCTAAAAACGTTTTTTACCCCATCCTGACCGCGTCAGGAAAACATTTCCCTACTTGCATCCAAAACCATTTGACCACCACCTGAAACGGCCAGGATACGCATAAAAATAGCTGCTATCTCAGGCGGCAATATGAAATTTTTGCTGGGAAGTTAGGTTAGGTCAGGTTACGTTAATTGAAAGATATATGTAACTAACGTAACCTGACCTAATCTAACTTTACCTAACTGCCTCCAAAAATCAGTTTCAGCAGAATGCGGAAAAATGAAATTCACAGTTTCTGGTAGGTGCACGGAAAGTAGGTACTGAGATACAGTAACAGGAAATTACCAAAAAAATACTAAAGTGAATTAAGTATCAAGCCTTGACTTAAATTATCACCATATATAAGCCTCAGGTCATTTGCTAAATAGAGGTTAGCTCCCTGAGAGTCATTGAAAGACTCACAAAAGTAGGACAATTAAACTCAGCGATAACATCATCTCATAAACCCTGGGCCATGATCAAGAAACATGTCTCTACATTCATAGCAGCCATCTTCTGTTGTAAACTTCATCACATACAGGACCTGCGGTGTATCCATTAGATTGTTGCATCGCCATTGCCATGGTGAAGTTCACGCTGGGTATTGCCTCCAAGGTCCTGCTATATAACCTGCGCTGATTGCAAGCAGGCAGCCCCTGCCGAAGGCCATCATCAGGCCACAGGCAGCAATAAGCAGCGGTCAAGTCAGTGGCAAAACCGCGCTTCGTACTGATGCACACGCCTGGCATCACATAGGCATATAATATAATCCTTGGTTATACAGTACATCAGAATAAAATACTCTATATCCTTTCAAATAATTGAGGCGGATTCTCTCTCTCTCTCTACGACAGTATTGTCTACATCTACAACGATTCACTATAACTGTTATTTTGTGGTCCCACCGGGTTAAACTTCCCAGGTTATAGGGGTTCTCTACCAAGAAAATTCCCTCCAAAACAAATTTTTTCTGGTACCTTGATTTTCGTTGCAGAGCGAGTCCACTGGTATTCTTATAATGCTTGGAACGTTGTGTGTATATAGTGATAGTGCCGTTTCAGTGGGGCCCCGAGATGCGGACGTAATTGGTGCTTGAGCCTTGTGGTTGGACAGTCCGCATGTTGGATCATGTTTACCATTAAACTTATTTGGTGGGAAAATTATTCGATTGCTTCTACAGTTCATCAAAAATTAGAAATAAGTCCCTCAAAAAATTGGATAAAATGTTTTCCTCAACTTAAAGGTACAGAATATAACTGCTGTGCAGAAGAAACCCAAACAGTACCAAATCTTTTGGCATCAATAGGACCCAAACAATTATAACAAAAAATACCACTCTTTTTGTACTGTGCAAAGATGAGGAAGAATTACTGAAACGTGCTTCAAATTTTAGGTAAATTAGTTTTAGATCCACATCAAACCTTCGTTTACAGACTCTTTTATTTCATAATCTCTCATGTTTTCGTCAGAATCCATAGTTTGATTCTGGGGGATTTTCTTGAAACTCCGAATATGACCATATATTCGAATAAAAAAGGCATGCAAATATGAGCATCTATGAACATGAAGTAAACCATGAAAATATGCCAGTTGTGAATACAAATATTTCGAGTAACATCAACTCAAAGATTTCAGTGAATTCAGCCTTTTTTTTAATTGGTCGAAGTCGTTATTATTCCATCGGTGTTTCAAGAAACTTCGTTTGTGGTGACCATCAAGGCGTTGGAATTGAATGAATTTTTGAATGAATATGAGTCACAAGTCTCGCGGATTCCGTGAATATGGTTAAAAAGGTACCAGCACCACTGATCAGTGCTGGCAGGGCCACTGTGGCACCACCACCGCGAGTTCTGCCAGTTCTGCAGGATGACAGCCTCACTGACCTCGATGACCTGGAATCTTCTACCAACAAGACCAACAAGCAGTCAAGGCTCACTGTGAGTAATAACTTAGAACTTGCGAAAAAAAGTCGAACCATGCAGCTCCTGCTGGAATATTGTGCGAATATGTGAAAGTGTAAATTTCGTTAGATACTAGCTCGTCATTCAGGAAATGAGAAAAGGAACTGCGAGAGAGGCGTTTTATTATTGTCACCTTCTAAGTCCTAATCAATTTAATCCATCAACAATTTCTACATCGGTTAAATTGCTGACCACGTAGCTCAATAAGTTGACATACCGTATAATTAGTGACTTTGATGGTTGAGATGGATTCAAAATTCATAATTTGTTAAATATAACTGCGTCAACGGTAATTTCATCTATTGTGCCCAGAAATTATCACAAAGTTAGTTCTGATGAGATCGAGGCCTCATCAGAAGTTTAAAAAAATTGTTTAGGGGGCTAACATCTTGTCAGGATATGTGAGAATTGAAATTTATGTTTTGCCCTAACTATTGACTAAAATTTAGAAAATGTACTGGTTATACTACAACAAACAAATTTCAAATTTTTAGCGGGCCTGGAAATTTCAGCATCACCGGTATTATGGGGGAGGGGGAACTGGCCGTGACTGGAAAGTTTTCAATTATCATCACGTAGTAAATTTAAAAATTTGTTTAAAAATTCGAAACAAATCCTAGATATACATACAAAGTCATCGGCTACGGCACAGATTTTTTCACAGTTATTTCTTCTCAAGAAATAAGCAAGGATGTCCCTCAAGAGGGACATCCCTCTTAAAAGACTGCGGTTATGCTTTTTATTGAGTTTTTAGACTATTTTCTAATTTAACCTCTGTTCTCCCATCGAATAACCTAAAACCAACTTTTCAAGACCAGCTCCACTCCCTCAAAAACCGTTTGAAAATTTACATATTTTCCTTTTTAGTTTGCTGCAAATTTGTAATTTGTTTTAAATTTTGCTTTTTTCGAAGGTCGCATTGCGGATTCGTCCGCTCTCCAAGCAAGAGAAGGACAAGGGACTGACAAAAATTGCCCAAGCTGTAGACAGCCAGGTTCGTAATTTTTGAAATTGTATTCCGTTTTACAACCAAGAATAACCTAAATTTTACTATTTTGGAATATATTCCGGTATCAAGCTTTCTAATGCGCGGAAGTGCGAGATTCCAAACATGCGTTTGCGCGGATCAAAAAATTATCCCGTTTAAAATTATCCAGATGCTACTCCTGATGATCGAATTTGTCTACCTTTATCGTAATTGCATCATTGTAGAATTTTATTGTCAGAAATTATCACCGCTTACTTTCTATGGTTTTTTCTTTCTTACGAATTCATGTCTGATTTACCCAACTGTCAAAAGGGTGCTAGAAATCTACACGAACGCTTCCGCGTTTAATTCCCAGACGCTTAAACCCGCCAAACCCAAGACTTTTATTACAGCACTATAATGTTCAGATCGATTCCTGTTACTTCTTCTCGTTATAATTACAAGAAACCCAGACTAACCTTTCCCCTTTTGTTGTTCGAGCGTCTCTTGTATTTATGCGTTTCCATGGCCACTCAGAACCCGTGTCGACAAAAATAGCGAAATCTACGTTTTCATTGAACTGTGGTTGTAAAGGTCAAGGAAATGTCGAGCAATTCTTTCTGGATCCAATGCGAATATTCTTTCTAGCAAAGAATGTGTCATCCAACCATGAATCCCGTGGGTTCATTCAGATTACTTTCTTCAGAAAATGCAGGTCAAGCAATTATTTGTTCAGCTGATGAAACGGTTGATTATTATTATTTTTTTACTCCGATACGATGGTTGTCAAGAGAACAGTTACTCGATTGTTCACGTTGCTAGCGTAGTAACCAGTCCAAGGATTGATCTGCATATATTGGGGGAAAATTATTTGGAACAACTATACGTCGTATATTGATCTAAAGTCTTCGAGTAATTTCCGGGATTTTTTGGCATAAACCTGGTACATGTATTCACACTATGTTGCAGCGAACGTTTCATTGTTCAAATAATGCTTCGAGTACAAGTAGCATTTATTTCAACATTACCGGCTTATTTGTTCTGTTCTCATGTTCCGAAAAGAAACATTTGCAAACTATTGGCGAGAAAAAACCTGCTGCGAGGCACGAAGATTATAAATTCGTATAGAAATTCGTCAGGGAACTGGAAGGCGAAAATTTGAAAAATGATGAAGCAGTAAGAAGAATCGAACAATTTCACAGCTTGCTCGCTTTCTTTCAGGTCCAATTCCCTTTCAAGAATAATATGTCGGCTTTTTCGTAAATTACAGTTGCATATAGTGAAATGATATATTATTGATGTAGCTTGAAAAAAAGACGCAGTATGTTGATAAAAAAAAAGGCCGCATCAAAAAACCTGTGCCTGATTGATATTTATGAGTTTCATTGTAAAACGGCTGCAAATTATCTGAACACCTTTTCTCAGTGTATCAATTCACAACTTACAAGAAAACCAGGAAACTTGAGGCAGAAATCAGAAAGATTCAAATATATGTCCTCGATCGTGGAGGCATGGAGTACAATACAGTTACTTCGGCTTCAGAAGATACGCATTTAAAATTTAAATTCTAGAGATGTAAAAATCACCTGTTTGGCATTCGCCCAGATGAGTTGAATGAACCAATTTAGGGTCCATTCTCTCTCTGAAATGGTTATCCTGTATATACAAACATTCGTTCGTTGTTTATGGATTGCTGAGGATAAATTTCATGCTCCAAGCTAAACGCTGAATCTCGCTGTCAAATGTAATTTCTTCAACCTTCAAAAAAAATGTAGACAGTTGTGAGATAAGACTAAAAATAAACCGGATTGTCTTGTCCTCGAAAATTGTTCAATGTTTTTGTTTTTGGATTCAGATGGTGGTTCTACAGGAACCCGAGCCAGATCGGAATGACCCACTGCGACAAAAACGACAACAAGAAAAACAGTTCATGTTCGACATGGCATTTGACGAGTTTATTGACCAGGTTTGTCTCGATACTTTCTCGTCTTGTTGGTTCATTTAAAAAGAAATTTTTGAAAACCATGCGAGTCTCAGGCGAAAAATTCCCTCTATCAGTGGAGAAACTATATTTGACGGATATTGACTGAAGAAATTTGCAGCAGTATAGCTTGAAAAATTGAATTGCAATCGGATTCCCGAATTTAATTGCTTTTTACAGGACGAAATCTATAACAAGACGACAAAAGACATCCTCGACTTCGTTTTGGGTGGTTATCACGCCACAATTTTCGCATACGGGCCAACGGGTGCAGGGAAAACCCACACGATGGTGGGTTACAATTCGAACCCCGGGATCATGGTTCGGGCTTTAAATGATCTTTTTCAACGAATGCACGAGGCCGCAGAAGAGGACCAATTTGATGTGAGTTTGGGGAGAGATTTGAGATGAAATTGGATTACACAATCGCGATTCACGCGAAAACAAGACAAAATCGATTAGATGAGTCGCTAATCCTTAATTGTTGTGCATAAGTAATGGATGAAAATTTGTCTCTGAATTTAAGACGCACTTTCCTGTAATTTTTCGGAATCCATAGGAAGTCGGCTGATTCATAGCTGAGATTCCTGCTGAGTATCCTTGCAAATTTCCGATTGAAATCAGCGATTATTCCCCTGTAAACTTAAAATCGTACGAGAATACGTATTTTCAAATTTTCGACTTGATTCGTGTTCCGAAGGTCCCGTAGGTTAAAATAAATCATGAACTCGACGTTCGAAATCAAGACACCATGATAAAAAAAAAATAATCACGTTAAAAAAATCTCGTTTCCGAAAAAGATGCAGTGTTGCATTCTGAAAATTATGACGATATTTCCCGACGCGACTGAATTGTTTTCGAGCAGATACCGAGTTTTAAAGATCAGAACATTCTTTGGACAGCAATGAGACGTGGGTCATTAATTTGCTTGCACAATTCAGGTTACAATGTCTTACCTGGAAGTATACAACGAAAATATCAGAGATTTGCTGCGACCGGGAACAGGGCATTTGGATTTGCGAGAAGATGCAAGATCCAACGAAATCAAAGTTGCCGGGCTTCTGGAAGTTAAAATAACCAACACCGACATGGCGAGTACATTTTTCGTAACATCTTTCTGAAAAACATTTTTTTTTTTGCATAGAACGAATCACCATTCGTAAAAATATCCACATCATCTGTGACATTTCGGCGAATTATTGTATTACTAGGTATAACGGTTATTTGCAGCAACGGTTGGAAAGATTGCTCGGGCATTGTTTCCCAAGCACTTACTTCGAAAAATTATCAGTTTTATGCTGTTGAAGTAGAATACTATCATAGGAATGAATTGAGTATTTAAGACATAGTGAGTTTCAGTTGAATTAAATAGATCCTTGCAGTTTGATAAAAAATTTGACATATTTCTTTTTGCGGAAAAACTAATGAATTAGAGTGGTACTGTACCCTCGGTTAACAGCCGCCTTATATGAGGAATTGCACACATAATGGCGTCGAGCTGCCACAGTTTTTGTGTGTGTGTTTCGGATAGTGAACCTTGCATGATGCATCGAATGAAAAGAGGTTTTCAATTAACAACAAAACAGCGAGTTTGTTTCAGCTAATAGTGCGGATTCAAGCAGTTTTTCAATGTGGTGACATACTGTATTTTTGGAGTTCTATTCTGCATTTTTGGGACATTATTTTATTTTGCTGAGACTATTCCTTGTTCTTTGAAGAACATGTACGTTATAAATAGGATTATCGTGTACAGTAATTAGTTTGTGACTGAATGGAAGGCATCTCAAGACAATCTGATACAGATTTCACATGACTTCGCATTACAGTAGTACAGATGAGCTCCGCCTGGAGTCAGGTATTTGCACACGCTGTTGCAAAAATAAATGGTAGAATAAAATTTGTCATGCTAAATCTAAGAACCCAAATTCTCAGAAAACTTTTCTTCATTCATCTTTGTGCGAACCAAGAAAGACCTTGGTTCACCCACTCATTTTCCAAAAGCCTCCAAGGCCATTTTTTATTGCCAAATCTTGAATCAGTTATATGTCCTTGGAGGACAGTTTTCCTGATTTCCTACTCTATCAAAAAACTTCCCTTCTGCCAGAGCTCTTGTATGCAACACTGGAGCATTTTCTTCACAAATATTTGTATGATATCAAATTACAACAGCCTTAGAATAGGGTGAGATTTCACCCCACAGTCGCAGCCCAACCAATTTCTTTGTTGAATTAATTTCTAAAACTTATTGAATTTCAAACTTACTATCTTTATTCCTGACATACGCTGAGTGCAAAAATTTTTTCTTTGCAATTAGTTGAAGTCTTTCATTTCAGTCTCATTGCTGAATTTTGGTTTGTTGAATGTGGAGTTTTTCATGAAGTCAGGAACCAGGAACTAATCAACCAATCCAGCTTTACATGCCATCTTGGTTGATGAGTTTTCCAGATAATATATTGACCCCCCCCCCCCCATGTACTGCTGGAAGGAGTTATGTTCATTAACCAAAGCACCACATGCAACTTTTTAGCTGAAGAAACGCTGCTATGGCTGCTGTAAAAGAGAGAGAACGCTGTTCTTGTTTGATTGGTTCTATCGATTTCAATCAGGTGATGAATATGTTGCAAAAGGGCAACAAAAACCGCACTGTAGAGGCCACTGCTGCGAATGCGACCTCGTCTCGATCCCACGCCCTGCTGCAGGTCAACGTCCATCGCAGGTCAAAAATGAAAGATGTCAAGGGGAAGGTGAAAGCTGGTCGGCTTTTCATGATCGACTTGGCCGGATCCGAACGAGCCTCGCAAACCAAGGTAAGTAATTAATCAGAAATAACATCTTTGAATAATGCATGATTTCCGTGATTTTTCTCCAAATATTTCAACAAAACGTTTCTACGCTTTTGTTTATCCAAGAACAACTGAAATTTAAAACCCTGATTTCAGTGAATTACAGTCGAATCTCTTCAAGTCAGAAGCTGAGAGGGAAACCATACAAGAATAATAGACATATATTGGAACTCTTCAAGTTATAGAAAGCAGCAGTTTTTTTTGTGTGTGGTCAGGAATGAAGTGTTACAAAGAGGTTAAATTGGTGTTTATCCTGGTCTTAAACTGCTGTTGGATAAACGTGTTGACAGCTAGGATGCTGAATTGGGTCCCCAGAAGGAACAGTTTAAAAGTCGTCTAGAAATTCCGAAGGCTTCAGGAGGAAAGTCTTTGAGTATCGGAGGTCCTTATTACACTGTTATTAAGGAAATGCAGACAAAGAAAAAAAATTATCATGGGGACGTTTTATTTGACTTGCCGAGGCTTGAGTTCGCCAGCTATATAGGTCCAATTGTACTTGAAAAAGTTTCGAGAATTTAGGAAAATGTGGTTTACGAGGAACTGTTTTTTTTTGTGGAACTAAACGAACACATAACGTAATTCTGTAATTGAGAATTTGTTCAGTGTGATCAAAACGGAAAAAAGGATTGATGCTCGCTATTATATCTCATATTCGAGGTGAACATAAATACATTTATTTTTCATGACGAATTCACGGAGAATGAAACTGAGAATAGAAAAAAATATTTAGAAATGTGGCTTTACAGACACCATGAAATATTCCAAACTGAATATAACAAGCATATTATTTCGGTATTTTTCGAAAACTTTCCCATATGGTATGTAGAATCGAGGGCAGAGGCTGAACGAGGGAGCACACATCAACAGATCGCTGCTGGCATTGGCAAATTGCATCAATGCCTTGGCGAAAGGTGACGCCAAATATGTCAACTTCAGGGACTCAAAATTGACAAGGCTGCTGAAAGACGCCCTGTCGGGGAATTGCAAAACCGTCATGATCGCGCACATAGCGCCATCTGCCGTCCAGCGAGAAGAATCCTTCAACACACTGGTTTATGCTGACAGAGCCAAAAATATAAGCAACAAGGTTAGAAGTCAAATGTATAATTCATACTGCCAAAAAATGCGGTTTTTCCCTCTTTTTGGAACTCGAAGCGTGATCAAATCAAATTAAATTTCATTTACACCCAAAAGATCGTATCCTATAGAATTTGAAATACAGTATATTATACTACATACCTCGGTTTTCTGAGTCACTGTAAATCTATAAGTTGATTAAGTTCTGAGAATTCAGAAAAATTATGCATAAAAAATCATGAAAAATGAATTTGCTGTCGTATAATGATTCCATATATGGTATTCTTGCCTGAACCTTTTACGCATTTTTTTTACGATGAATAATTTTTCGCAACAGAGCATGTTATTATGACGGGATTTCACTTGTACTCAAAATTATGTAAATGAAGAGTCGGAAACGTGGAGAAAAACTTTTTTGCAATTGAAATTTCAAGCAACCAGTAAATTAGAATGGAAATTGAAGCGTATTTCTCATCTTATCCGAAGCACTAAATTCATACTTGGCCCCGTAATGTTTCACCAGTTTCTCTTAATCCAATGAATGCCTCTGGGGAAAAAACCCCGCGAATTGAATTTATTAATTTCTTACAGCTGAAGAAGAATGTGGTTGACGTGAAATACCATGTGACTCAGTATCAGGAAATCATCAACGATCTCAAGGGAGAAATACAAAGGTGTGTTTTGAAGCTTTGCAATCAAAATTCGTCCTTGTGCGAATTTTTGTCCACTCAGGACTTTAGGAGGAAGCACGGCACTGTTTTCTTCTATCCCAATGCTTTCATTAATAAATTCTGCTGATCACGTTTTGTTTTGTTTCATATGCGCCTGTTTTCCTCATTCATACGTTTTCAGGATTACAATGCGGGTAATGTGAAGCCGACCTTTAAGGAATTTCAGGTTTAGATCCAACTATCTTCAAGCAGCCTAATCTGGTTTTAGATAAAAAAAAATATAGCCTAATCTACAGAGGCTAAAATGAGGTATTCAGAAATTTGTTTATGTACAAAGTCATAAACTGAACATCGATATGTTTTGGGTGCATTGAGCAGTTTTGATAAAATGTAGCAGCAGATTGCCAGGAAGAAAACAACTACTGTAAAGCCTAACCCTGTTAAACCGCCCCCAATAAACCACCACCCTCAGATACCACCACAATTTTGTCAAAAACAAACTGGCCAAAAAATTGAAGGGATGGCAATACCTCAATGCTATCTGCCAAGGTTATTGCCTCCCAAAACATGTTTTGGTCCTCAGTTTTTCCCTACAGCATAAACTGCCAATACTTTAGAGTTTAGAGGAAACCCCTGGTTTCTCTCATTTGTTTCCACGAAAATAAAACACCAAGCTTTTGTACCTTAGACTACCAATTTGTCCAGTTATGTCAGTTTTTTTCATAAGAAAGCACTAAGGTTTTCTTATGAAACTTCTTTTTTTGCTTTAAAAAAATAAAATAAAACCTTTCCCTGTTCTTGGTTCTTCCCCAATTCGGAGAGAAAGGTGCATGTCACCCCTGTTGAACTGCCAAAATTAGGCCCCACAAATTTTGGCGGTTTAATTGGTTTCAACTGTATGAATATACAGAATAATATCAATCAGCCAGGCATCTTTAATTTTTTAGTACGCATTTTTTTTGCATTGAAAAAAAAATCTTGGACTTTTCCCTAACTCAATCACAGCGTAATTCCTCAGCAGATGGCAAGTATAAGAAAGGGATACCGAGTTTTTCTGATAATTTTTTTTGGTGAAAATTAAAAATTTCAGGTTGAAGACAAAAATAGACGACGAAGGGGACGAATTGGTTGGAGTCAAAGGTAGCAAATCTAATCCCATCGGAGGACCACAAAAGAAACTCAGTCCCGAAGAAGAAGCCAGACGCAAGGCAGAACAAGAGGCTCTTGCTAGGCTCAAAGCTTTGCAAGATGACCTGGTTCAAACCTTCAAAAAGCAAATGGATCTCAAGTTAGTATAATGAAGATTGAATTGAAGAGCGGCAAACAATTCTCACCAGGCACTTTACTAAATGAAATCCAATATTCATGCGTTTGCTTTTATATCTACACAGACGTTCACGGTGACCTTTTTTCCGCAAACAAAATTACAGTTTATTACTGCATAACTAAAATATTCTTAATTTTTATTTTTGGGTCTATCAGCGGAGATTCCCACACATAATTCAGAAACTGAAATTTCATATCTTTTATCTGGTGTAGAAAATGTTTATTTATTGATCAGTCATTTTCTGTGATATCAATAAGATATTCTAAAATGCAACCTGATATGTTTAAACATAATTTTTTATTAATCTTGTGAGAATTCAGACAAAAAATAAAAAAGCTAATTGATCGCTTAATCGAAAAGAAACGCGTTCTTAATTGTGCCAAAAACACGTTCTCTCATTCTCAAGACAATACTGCTCGCCAAGCAGAAATTTCACCGCAAATTTTTGTTTTTCGCTTATGATATGTATGAATAAAGAGTATATGAGATGATGATTTTTCTGTTGCTTGCAAATCCCACCATCAGGCACGAATTGTTGGACGTGGAAAACAGTATGTTGGCTCTGGCGATGGAATACGAGCGACAAGAACTGGTTGTCAAAGAATACGAAGCTGATCAAGCACTTCGAGGCCGAAAACCAAAAAAATTATTGGCGAAACTCGACAAACTTCGGGAAAACTGCGGACAGAATTCCCCTGCCCCGGATGATCTCATGGATGGTGATATATTTGCGAACTTTCGATCGCACAATCCCTCGTAAAACATTCAAAAACTTTGAATATATTTCCACGACCACAGAATGAATATCTCATCCGCGGTTCCGCCACTTTTTTAGACACATGCGTATGAGATCAATAATAAAGTGAAATCTCGGCGAAGAAAAATACTCATAAGAAAATTTGCATGAAAAAATGCAGTAAACGGGTTCTATGCTGAATCATTTTACAAAAGATGTGTTCTTTTTTGAATGCTCACAAATGGTTCAAATTGTCTGCAGTATTTTATTTACATTTTGGAAAATATTAAGATTTGCCACCTGTTTTGACATAATTTCGGAGGTATGAAAAACGGTGAATTCCATTATTCACGCTATCGAAGACATTTTGATAGCTGAATGCAGAATATCTGTCTATGCCAACAAATGTGTGATTAAAAGCATCGCAGATTTTTCGTGAAGTTTTTGTGCTTAGGTATGAATTTATTATACAGTATTTGCACTGCTGCAACGAATTTATGTCACCAGCGATATGTTATCTATTTTTATCCTTTTGAGACGACAAGTAATTTTTTTATGCGGAGATTTCGTTTCAAGGGTAATTTTTGTTGTTCTAAGAGTCTCATTTCATTTCTTTTGGATTTCAGAACCAGAACCAGATGAAGATGATGATCCTGAGGACGTGGCTCAAGCCATGGATGAGCTCACTTTTATTATTCGGGAACAAACCCGTTATGACGACATGAAAGCCGACATTGAAAAACAGCTGGACGAATGTCGACACAAAGCCAAAGTTTTAGAAGAGGTACGCAATTTTTATGGTTCAATTTCCGGGATCCAAGGAATTCCGCCGTTTTCTGGTTACATTCGAAGGACATGTTTGAATCATATCACTCTAGTTTTTTCCAATGATTATTCAGGGAAAAATTATTTATCTTGTCATCTGACCCAATTTTGCCTCTACAGATTCGTTTGCTTTGCATCATCATTTTTGGAGAAACTGAATGAAAACTTTCCGAATTCCATGCGGATATTTTCTTTTCTCGATCAACTCCATCAGTCAGGCGTAAACTTAATGACGAAAGACTTCTCACTTGTACAACGTGTCGGGCATCTTCTTGATACTTATTCAATGTCTTCCAGGAATTACCGCAGCAAATAAACACCCAGGAGCAACGAGAAGTTTACATGTTGTTGCTGAGGGTTCATGAATTGGAAATTGAAAGAACTGAGCTGCAGAGAGACGCTTTGTTGAGAGAACATCAGCTGAGAAGAAGGGATTTGCTGCTGGTGAGACACGAGATGCAGCGGAATTTGTGCGACCAAATCATCACTCGCCAACGACAATTGATCAGCGGTGAGTTTGACTGAGCTGCATCATATGCGTGTTTGTCAAATGAGGGCCAGATAGTGTTGCCAAATTCAAACGCGAGTGGAAACAAATGAGCGTTGAGACAATTGAACGCCAGAGTTGATGACGGAGATCCCCCGCCTCAAACTGGGAATAATAATTTAATTTGGTCGATCAGTAGATGTTCGATCGACGCCTATACAGTTTATATTTCCATCCATCCAACGATTAAAAATATAAATTACATGTACAGTTTCAATTAAGTTGCAATGATTGCCCATTCAGCGAATTTTCTGCTTCAGAAATTGTGTTCGAGAACCCGACAGAACCCACACAGAAAAAAATTAAGATAATTAAGTAAGCTTTTGATTTGAGAATTTCTCCAACTATTTTAAACATAATCTCAATGCAAAGGAGTTTTTAGTAAAAATATTTATCTCCATGTCCATATGTAGGGTTATAGGCAGAAGTTCACTTACACTAGGCCGAGTTTTCCCGGCGCTCAGTTGCAATACCACTGAGTTTAATCGCCGGCACAGAAAAGTGTTTCTGTCCTTTCTTGAAGCTGTTGATCATATTTACTTTACTTGTCAGATAATGGAGGTGCTGTGCCAGAGGATCTGGAAAAACTTTATGAGGTGTACGTTCAGGAACTCCAATTACCGAATCGGGAACAAGAGCGAAGACTCAGCGGAGAACTAAATCTCTTCAGGGTAATGCTCATTTTTCTCTGCACAGATCAATGGCTTTAAAAAATTTTCCCCACCTAAAAATGAACCCGTATATCGAAAATATGGCATGATAATTTTTTATTGGCAAAAGGTGACTTGCACAACAAATGTTTTTGCATAACGAAATCGCGTGAAGTTGAGTAAGTTATCACTTGGAACATTTTCAAATTGTTTTTGATGCTATGCAAATATTCTGAAAGAAGATTTTAAAATACCCTCCTAATATATCCGGGAAATATTGGTCAATGGCTGAAATATTTGATCTTGCATTTTCACGTTTTCGTGAGAAAAGGCGAGCGTTGCATGTTTGTAAAACTTGTAACTCAATTCGTAAATTGCACCCGTTTTCGAGAATTAAGTAGAAAGTTTTGTTTCTGTCCCTTTTATCAATGCTACAGCAATGAGAATATGAAGTGTTTTTTTTATGAATGAAATGAATAAAAGTCTTCCTTAGCTTCTTGATAGATAAATAACTCAATTATTTATTCATGCCCGATCTAAATTTATCAATTCCTTTTTTTTCGTCAGTATGAAGGCTCTGGACCCGCAACAAGGATGACTTCATCAAAATCAAGGGTATCTTCAGACGGAAAACTGCCAAGTTTACAAAAGTGAGACTACAGGAACATCATACCTAACCATGCAGATTATCGACGTAAAACTTTTTTTGCAATTTTGAATTCAAATATCCCACGCATTTTTCTCAACAGTCAACAAAACACTCTCTTCATCAAACGACAAGCGCTGATGACTGCGAATCGGCGGCCAAACAGCGACATGTCCATCAAAAGCTTTTTGAGGTCAGATGCCTAATTTTTCAAGTCGATTTATGAATTGAATAGCGGCTAATTTTTCATGTTGATTTTATTCAGTGCTGATGGCCTTGGTAGAGGAAGCGGAGTGAGTTCCGTGCCGTCATTGCCACCAATCAATGGATCAGCAGTTGCTGCTGGACGCAGATTAATTGATGACCAGCAATCAGGACCTAATTATGACGCCATGTGAGGATAATTACTGAGAAAGTTATCTATTTTATTATACGTTCTCGGGAATGGAAAAAAATTACCTGCTGGAGTTCTTGGCGTATGTATTGCAATGCTCTTATTAGTTTGAAACGCTACGCGCTTTTTGCAAGAATTATTTTGCGAAAACACTGCTGCTTTGATTTGCTTGACGAAACAACAGTCGAGTGATTTTTGTTTGGCTGCTTACTTTAGAAATCAGCTGACTGATTCCCAACTTCTTGCTTTATGGAGTTCTACGTAGGACAATTTGAGGCTTATGTAATTTTCCTACAGGAAAAAGGCGAAAATGTAAATTTAATTTTTTTCCTGTGGAAAATACGTGATGCCGAATCAACTAACAGAAGTATCGCGATTCAGTTTTTTAATTCCGCCATTTAGGGTTTTTTTAATCATAAGTTTATATAAATACAGTAGTTGACACATTTGTTAAAAAGCACTGATAGAGTGTACGTATTTACTTCAATAAGTCAAAGTTTGTAGAAAATTCTGTGAAAATCGAAGATTCCTGCCCAACTTTTTTATTTTCTCTTCTGTTACGGCAACCGGGACATAAGCTATCCCAAAATTGTAAACAGAAAATCGAAAATTGTCAACTGTTCATGAAATTGTTGTTGAGGCCTTGAATTCGGGCTGCTTTGATAAACGATGTAATTTTTGCTCTTACAAAAAATTCGCTCAAAAAATATATCAGACACAGCAGACAGTAATCGATCAACCTTGATGCTCCACGTATACGTTGGATTCATTACAGCCGATCTACGGACTTTCCACTGGAACCGAGAGGTATCACATTTATGTTTTAAATGTATTAAAATCTTGATAAAGTTACCTGTAATAAAATAGTGTATTGTAAAATGTTGAAAATTTAGAAAGTGCAACAAGTAAAAATGATGAATATACATTAGGTATCACATTTATGTTTATGGTCACAAAAGAACGAGGAATTCAGAAATGGAGATACCCCGCTCGTGCCTTTGGGGAATTTTTGAATTTTTCTATCGTTTAATCTTATTAAACGATTGGGTCGACATTTTTGAATTTTCACCGGACTATATGGGAAATTGATCAGCGAGATTGTATTGAATAGTCGAACTTATTCTGCCAATCAGCAGACAGTATTTTCTTTATGTATAGCCCGTTCTTGTTCAGGTCGATGTTCCGTGCAATAATTTCTTGAAACGTTTATAAATTTAATTTCCAAAGTTTTTAAATTTGATTTTACATATTTTTAAATACGAATACAGTAGAATAAACTCTGTGATGAACACTCGACCGTTCACGAGCAGCAATGAGAAAGAGGCGAAATTATTTTAGAATATGACGCTTTTTACGGAATCCTACACAGTAAAGTATTTTATAAATGTAATACATTTAGTAGAGCTTTGTGTTTTTCAGCACTGATCGATTTTTTTTTACAGTTATTTAGCACAGCGTGCTGAAAATATTCACTGCCCACATATTCATCGCTAAATATATTGGAAATTTAGCTTTGGCACGAATGTTCACGGAACTGCGAATGAAAATAATTTGGCGTAAATTCTGGAAACTGTTGTCCACATTTCTCTCGTTAGAAGAATTAACGACCACTTTGAATTTTCGATAACCGCATGAAAATTTGCATCTTGCTAATTTGTGTATGTTTTTTTCATCTAAGGCATTTGTAAATGAGTGTGCAAAGATCTCAAAAATAAAAATCGACTCTCCTTTGACAATGTCAAGATCCATGATTATCAAAATTTCCTTATCGTGAATTAATTCCAACAATATTGCGTGGAAAAATATCTTTGACATATTGTATAGGCCTTTGAAATTGTAGTTTAAAAAATGTATAGTTTATGACACATTGTATGAAAGAAGAACTTCGGAGCCCATCTTTGCTTTCAATTGATCATTATAAAAGTGGTCTTGCCTTCAGATTTCATGGGATAATGTACGCAACGTTGAAAAAGCACAAAGGTTTAAATTCCTTGGACCTCACTTTTCAATAATTTTCTAGATGCGTGTTTATTGTCACATTTTTCAAGGCGTGATTGCACATTTTATGCATATGTATGCGTCGAACGTGATCACTGTGTGATTACAGTATGGGCCTTATATTGTTCAATGATTTCACTTTCTCTAAGTCTAATAGTCTATGTTACTTATGGATGAAGGAAACGAGCGAGAAGCTTTGATGCCAGGATCAGCAACAACGGAAGGCAGTACCAGTATGGCAACCCTGGTCTACTGGCAGGAAACCATAAACAGCAGCTCCGACAACCAGGTGGCGCTAAAGGTACTGTGCAACATTTCGGGTCTCAATTACAAAAAGATTTTGGCTTGAGTCTTTCACCCTTCTTTTGTTTCGTACGAATAAATCGGAGTTATTTCGCAGTTGCTCGTTTACGAAAGCATTCTAATCCGGAAACGGAGTTGTTTGAGCATGGCTTTAAATGCTATCCTGCTATTCAGGGCATTTGCTTATTGTCCCCGACTTTTTTTGTACAAATGTTTTGATTCGGAGTCTTGAATAGCGATCAACTCATTTAGCAGATCTCGGCATGCATCACGAAGTTAATCTGCGGTACTGACGATTACAATCGGTTCTTTTTTAAGGTTGGTCGAGCCTGTTCGGAGCAATAAAAATTTAATTACGATCTTTTCTTTTTTAAATGGATTCGATAATGGTGATTATGCAAACTTATCAGTAGTAAAAAATTATGCATAAGTATGCCTTTCAAGCTTGGACAGGCTGAAATGCTTCGAATCAAACCTTTTTGAGAATGTATATCTCCTATCAAAATAATTTCTACAGCAAAAACGTTCATAAAGACGATTACAGCAAAATACAGAAACGGAAATTTGCGTGGTGCTTCTAATTGAGTAATTAAAATTTTAAAAATTGAGCATATGGAAAATCAAGCTAGAAATTTCTTTGAATCTATTTTTATTTTTTTTTCACAAAATTATTTACATGATAAACTGCAATGAGGATAAGTTGAAAACATGTGAAGGGCCTAAAATGATCGTGGAAAGGGGAGGATTGGGTCATTCATGGTAATTAAATTTTTCCGGAAATCCGCATTCAAAATGAGGATTTCTCTTATTTAAATATTTCTTCATATGGGAATTCCTCCAGTGTGTGATATATTTGTTTGCATGAGATGTACACTGTACCTACTTTTTTGAGTGTATCGTTGTTCCTTTCATTTTCGATTCATTATACACATAACCATATCTGTGGGTAGTGCCATATTAAAACTACAAAAAAATAAGCTACTGCTGCTGAACGTAATATATTTTTGCACATACTGTACCTCGCTATAGTCGCCACACGCATGGATTTGAAGCATATTTTTGTTATAAGCAATGCAGTGAGGACTTCGCACATTCACTCATGAAATACTTAATGAACCTCTTCGTAACTGACGTGTTTTGCGTGGATTACCCATCAGAGTTCAACATCTTCTTAAATATCGTGGCGGTGTGTGAACCGTATTTCCTCGAAAACATTTATTTCGATCGTTATGCATGGCTTCTGGGAGAATAATCTGATTTATGATTTAAATTAAATGAGCGTTTTGTTTTGTGCTGAAATGGGAGGAATTCCGTAAGCGACCGAAATATTGTATGATGATGAAATGTTTTGCCCGGGGCGTTTCAATATTTGCGTAACACATGGAAGCACACAATAGATTTCGCCCAAACATCCCAACAAACCCCACATGCAGACACCTCGACCTGCGGACAATTTGACATAGGGACACTTATTCTCCCATAAAAATTAATAAAATATGCCCGACATGATGACACTGACTCAGCATAGGGACATTTTGTAATAAAAAACATCAATTTTAGGGTTGGAAATATCTGTTTCTTGTAATTTGGCCTGAAATGTATTTCGGAATTTTATTACAAAATGTCCCTATGCTGAGTCAGTGTCATCATGTCGGGCATATTTTATTAATTTTTATGGGAGAATAAGTGTCCCTATGTCAAATTGTCCGCAGGTCGAGGTGTCTGCATGTGGGTGTCTCACTGTATATAAAAATTGTGACAACAAACACTTCTTCCAACCTTGAATCGTAAACGCTCATATAGGCCTGTTTTCTTTTTGCCTTGAAAACACATTGAAAAAATCGTTTCTGGCATTCTGGGTCATCTAAATTTGAGATTTTACAGTTAAGAAAAACTTTTGAAATATCGCACCCGAAATTAGAATCACTAATTTTGCGACATTTTCCAGTAGCGTATGTATGAATTTATATGCATATTTGCAGTGCCACTCGTACGGCACAGCACTGTATTTAGAAGAAAAATACTTTATAGAACAATGGAATTTAATGTGGGCTGTTTTTCATGGATCATTCTAAGATCCTCATCGAATTCTGGGTTTTTCAAATTTCAAAGAAGCCAAAAAGGAAAAGAAAATTGGTGCGCAATTTTCGCTGACGGCTCAATACGTAAGTCACGTACTGTAGTATACTGCTGCAAAGCGCAATTATCTCAAAACCCAATTTTTCTTATTGTTTATCTTTTGAAAGGAACTTTGTGGTTGCTGTATAATAGATGTACAGTATAAGTTAGAGCTGTTCTAGAAATTTTAAATTTCCGATCTATACTTTTCACAGGAGACAAGGACGTGAAAAAGAAGAGTTTCCTGGAACGCATGAAGAGCAACTTCGGATTTTCACTCCAATACTAAATCAAGTTTTCGCATTGCATTTTGGAATCGTATGTGAATTGCTTGCTGCGTGAACCTGCGTGCTGAGTGCTGACTATGCTGAGTCGCGAAGTTTTCAGACAAACTCAGCCAAATCCCCATGGATGTTGCAAATGAGTTTCTCTACGTAGCTGTCATCAAAGATTTCCGCAGAGTGGAACCCATAAACTTCCAAGTGCGAACTACAATGCTATGTATGCCTTTTATCTGTATCTGTCATTGACGCCTGCTTTCACCGGATCTTCATTTATATAAACTGACGTCGTGACATTAGTGGAACGTGGTCTAAAGACGAAGAAATGGAAAAGAATGTGGATCAAAATTGTGTCCTGGTGTCTGATCATTTTTTCTCTGGCGGATCGATAGAAAACTATACGGTTGATGGCATTTCGGTGAAAATAAAATCTCAATTTAGCCATCAATTGAAAAATAATTTATGGCTAACATATGAGAGTTCTTTTTTTTTCCACCGAAATGCCATGAACTGTAAAGTTTTTTGTTGATTTGTTGGATAGAGAGCAGCAGCAGTAAAATATGGCCGCGCGAATTCCGAACGACAGTTGAGTTTCCCGTTTCATCCCAAAGGTAGGGTTTTCCTGAGTAATGTTGAAGCTGTGCAAACTGCAATTATGTTTCCCGTCATTGCGCCTGGCCGATTTTGGCTGAGACCACGCGAACAGTGGTGTTCAACCCTCCGGTTGATGATAATTCATTTTCAGTCGCGAGCAATGAGTACTTTGAATGAGGCTACGAATTTGCGAGAACTTAAATCAATCTTCCGTGAGAATGTGAAACGGGTCTTGCAGGATGTGTCCCAAGCGGAAATCGAGAAGCAATCAGTTATTGTTCTGGAAAAGGTCAGTTTTGGGGATTCTGTGTTGTGCCTACTCCGGTTTAACTTTTAGCTGTGTCAGGTGTTGTCTCATCCTGAGTACCAGCGTGCTTCGAGAATCTCTGTTTACATCAGCATGCCCGGAGAAATTTCCACTGATGAACTCATCCGCAATATACTGGAGACAGGAAAAAAGTGCTACGTTCCACGTTTTCGAAACAAGGATAAGCGCATGGATATGGTGCAAGTAACATCTTGGGAGGATTTTTCATCCCTCCCTGTTGTTAAATGGAACATAAGACAGCCTTCATTCGATGATGAAAGAGAAAATGCGTTGGACAGTGGTGGTTTGGATCTAGTAATGTGTCCTGGTCTAGCTTTCTCACCTAATGGCAGACGAATCGGACGTGGCATGGGTTTTTACGACAATTTTTTGAAAAGGTGTTCCGATATCAATGACGAATTTTATTCATTCGGATTAGCTCTGCGGGAACAGGTAGTTCCAAATGTGCCAACGGGACCTAATGACTGCAATGTTCATGAAGTAATCACCGCTTAATCGAATATTTGGTCTTCCACGTGCAGTAGTAGCGTTTTAGAGAGGTGAGGGTTATATCATTTCATTCCGTCCTTGATTGTGAATCATTTTTTGGTACGTTTTTGCGATGTTATTGCCATTTACTTCATCAAAGTCTATACCGGATTTTTTTTTTTTCGGATTCCAGACGGGTTCCCTTACTATAGACAAGTGCCGTGATTTCTTTTCCGATGTCCTGCAGAGTTGCCTCCGCTGATCAGGTGATGAACGTCTGGAAACGCAATTCAATCCGTGCTCCTTCTTTCAACGGTTGTAATTTTGCAGCGCCTGTACGGTAATCTACATCATTACGTGGACCAAGTGCTTTCGTACGAGCGGCAATGTGTTGTGAATAAAGCCATTGACGTGCTTCCTTGGATTGAACTGACAAAGCTGGCGAAGGAAAATGTTGCTGGAGCAGGACTGGATCCTAATTCTTTAATTTTCTGGGATTTTCTGATGGCCGAAGCAGTCAAGTGAGATATTGAGGAGCGAGTTTCCATGTGCCGAAATTGTGATGAACATTCCATTCAGGTGGTTCAAGCGATCATTTTTCAAGTGGATGACGGCACCAAAGTGCAGTCAGTGTGGATGTGATACGAGTGCTATTCCTCTTCAGTTACAGCCTACGCAAGAAGAACTGAATTATGGAGCTTCAAGAATTGAAGGCTATCGATGCACTTCGTGTGATCACTTGGAAAGATTTCCAAGGTACAATAGCGTTGAAAAGCTGCTGGGAACGTGTGTCGGGCGGTGTGGAGAGTGGGCAAATTGCTTCACATTCCTGTGTCGCGTCCTGCAATTCAATGTAAGTTGCAGGGATGAAATTTGTATGCGCTTCCTTCTCAACACATATCAAATACAGGTGCGGTATGTTGTGGATTTGCTCGGGGATCATGTTTGGACAGAATACTACAGCTTGCACGAGAAACGTTGGATCCATGTTGATCCTTGCGAAGAAGCAATAGATCGTCCATTGATGTACGAAGCCGGTTGGAAGAAGGAAATCACGTTTATTTGTGCCTTTGCTCGGGACCACGTTGCTGATGTCACGATGCGTTATTCGTCCAATCATGGTGCAGTGATCAACCGTCGTCTGAAATCCTCTTTTGAATCTCCACGACTGTACAATTTTTTATGGAAAACTACGCAACGATTGAAGGTAAGCAAAATGTGTGCATTGCATCTCTCTTGTCTGATTTAGGATGGTAGTCTTCAAACTGAGACTTGAATTGACACGTGGTTGCTCATCTCAGATTACCTGATCCTGATCAGTCAAGCAGATGTGTTGAGTGAGATGTTGAACTGGAGTCAGGTTGTGGTGCTGCAGTTAAAGTCGTGTTTGCTTGAATTCTAGGCCTGTTTAATGGAGAATCAACGAAAAGAATTAGATGTTCAGCTCGCCTGCGATTTGGTGAACATGATGGTAGAACGTACGCCTGGACAGGAATCAATGGGCGGTCGAACATCTGGTTCGATGGCTTGGATAATGTCCCGAGGAGAAGGTGATGGTCAGTCAGGGGATGTTAAGTTTGTGTTCAGACCCTCTGCTCGGGAATTAGCGTGCAATAAAATGCACATGAAGTACAATTGCCGACGTGATATGTATGAACGGACTGTTGGACAAGAAATTATACCTGGATGGCGCAACGGAACGTATTCATCGTATGGGGTATTCCGGAAGGAAGAGAGGGATTGGAAGAAAGCGTATCTCGCTCGTCTAGGTTAGTTGTATACTTTTGCTTGTATAAGTTACCGAAACTTCCGAGATCTTGTCTGCATGTTTGGCCGGTTCAGTTCTGGAATCGCAACTGCAGCGTTGGTGCATTGCTTGGTATCTTAATTCATGGTTTCATCCAGTACAGAGGTTGTTTCTGCTTTCGTGTCAGAATGTTTAATTCTGTCATATGGATTGGTTTCTGTGTATTTCTTTGTCTTTGAAATGTGAGTGTGATTTTTGTCTTCCAAGAAATTCAGTTTTGTTTGGGCGATCAAACGATTCCTCTCCTAACTCACTGGGTTCTTTTGTCTTCACTCCTGCCATAAAAGAAGCAGTTTGTGATTACCGTTCTATCATTAGTTCGGATTTGTGGATGGGATTCTTTTTGTATTACAGAGAATGTATTTTTAAATTTTGGAATTTGTAGTTCCTTTTGGGAGTTCCACGAGGAGATGAAGCTCTTTTTTGAATTGGTTGTCTTTTGTATGAGTACAAATAAAGACGACTGAAATCCCAGATCATCAGACATTCCGTCTATAAATAGTATGCTGCAGTATAATCTTGCTCGTAAGGACGGGATGAAAAGGCTCATCAAGGATTGAATGCATTTGATAATTTTTTGTAATTGCTCGTTTAATTTACAGTATTCTTGGAGTAATGAACAGTATGAGCTGTTGGGCTGCAGAATTGAAACGTTGATTTCCTGCGACTGTACTTCCTACTCTGTTCCCTTTTTTACTCTTTGCCAGCACTCAACATTGTTCAGTAATTGTTGGTTTTCATTTTATGTAGAATAAATGTAAAAATCTTTCAGAAGGACGAGAGAGAGGAAGCATTTCTTGGTTATTCGAAGTGAGCGAGGATGTAACCATGAAGGATGTTCGCATCCGTTTTTGCGGATCTCGTTTTGAAGATGGAGATATTTCCGTTACCGTGACAAGTGGGGAAACTCAAGTGAAGCTGAATTGTGATCAAGGTGATGAATAATTTACCTCAGCGCTCGGAAGATAATTTTTTCATTCTCCAATTCCAGACAGTGGAGGGGATTTGACAGCCATTCCTGAATTGGCGGGCACAAAAACGTTCTGCATAGACTGCAAGCTTTCTGGAGGCGTTGGCGATTGTGCTTGGCAACATGCACAACTTTTTCGTGAATCTACGGAAAGTGACGCTGAAGACGTTACCCCATTTGAAGTTATCATTTGTTTTGAATGAAATTAACTGATTTTTTCCATTGTTGACATGATTCGTCCATCAACTTCGCTTGTGGTTTGGTTTCTTCCTTGCGGAGAACGTCGCCCTCTGCTCTTTTCGTTGTTCAAACGATCCACGCAGATTCCATCTACTGAACGCCGTGATTGGACTTTCGCGCGCTTCGGCGTTGAATGATCTCGTTCATTCCTGGTTCAGAGCTGTGAACTTCACATCAAAGCCTTTGTTCGAAACTAATTCTTATCAGTTCTGTGCTTGAAACTGCGAAAGTCATCTTATCGCAGAAAGTGCTTAACCTACTCAAAGGATGGATTCTCATTTGACTTTATCAATGATGATGGCGTCTGCTTGAGTGTGGAAAAGTCGCGCTGGTTTTCTTTCTGTCCAAAGAAATTAGACTGAGGATATCGTCGTTGCTTCTGCGTGGAATGGTGCATCGTGCTGGAGGTTTCGAATTCACCGCGATTGATCGTACTTTCGTTTGTGTGGCCTGAAGTTTTTGACTTGTGATTGATCATTTTGAGTGGACTGTCGTGAAAAAAGAATGATTCCGCGACCACCAGCTTACATTTTTGTGATCGACGTTCGTTTTGTCTTTATTAGCAGAAAAAAGAAAAGGAATTATATTTATTGTAATCATGGCTTATGTTCGATCGATAATGTAGCGATCAACTTGGAACGACATGATTGGTTTGTAATCGAGTAATACTCCAGTTTCCTCCAAAAATTCAAAATAATTTTTCTAGGATGTTTCAGTGCGTATTAGCATCTATAGAGTGTATTTTGTAAAAATTTGCCTGGTGTAAGAACAGACAAAAAGCGAAAGCTGTTAATGAATTGTTTGCGCACTCTATTTCTTCAGAATTATTAGTTCCGATATCCGTTGGAAAAGAAGAGATAATTGATATCTTAGATATTTGACCAGCGGGAATACGATTTGAGCGATTTCGATTATGGCTCATCATTTGCAGATGTCTTGTATGAGGAATTCAGGATTGAATTTTTGAAAACTTGGTATGGAAGAAAACACTGAACGTGGCGTTTGTTCTACGTTTCGCCAGCAAAAGGTAGAAAATTGGTTACTTAGATGGTGTTCAAATTTTCCTTTAGTGTATGTTTTGTTTTTTGGGAGTTAGCTTTTGCCAGTTGCTGTTTTTTTTCCTTTACCATACACCCTATTGAATATCTGCGTGCTGTGTCTGAGTTTCATCCTACTCCTTTCGCTCGACGCGATTGATTCATTTCCTTTTTTTTATTTGGTCTCAGTGGTGGTGACGTTTCGGAACGAGGTGCCTTCCTTTTGACATGTGTGATCAAGCGAAGCGGTCGATGTGATCTGCCGGTTGATGGGCCCGGACGACGTGATTTTCGGGTGGTAACGCTTGGATATCGACGAAAGTTTGTTTTTCTTAACTGGCGTAAATAAAAAGTATTCCTAGTGGACCATGAAGAGGCACGTCTTGAAGATCAAGCAGTTTGCTGACCAAACGTTTTCAAGGTTAGTTCATTTGCTTGCATCTTTTTCTGCGGTCTACGTGAAGGGAAAAGCCGCCGATCTGCTTGAATGATCGCTTCGCGTCCTTGTTTTCGAGTCCGTGATGATCGTCTAATTTTTAAAATTTATTATTTATCGGTAGTTCTGTACGAATTTGATTACCCAAGTATCGTCCACTCATTTCAAATTTTTTTCTGAGTTCGTGTTTTCCTATTGTCTTACCTTTTTCAAAAACTTGGACGCGGTTTTCGCGGGAAGCATGAAACTCCATCGATTTAAGACGCACCTTGATTTTTTGACCTCTCGAGCTAAAACACAAAAATTATGCTGGCGAATCTGAGTCACACTTGCCCTCCCAGTGTGACAAGAATGATGGTACAGTACACGGTTGACCAAATGTGCACAAATTTTGTGTGCAGTTTAATGTACTCCAACGCTGCAAATTGATGGTAAATTTAGGTTTCTCCCAAGTTGAAGTAACCTTCCAAAATTCAATACTGTGTATCAGAAGAACCGATTCATTTTCAAGATTTATGCTGAGATAGGCCTTTTTCTTACATTTGCTTACGAATTTTTCTTATCTATGCTCCTAGGTTACATCTTCATGTTTTCTATCCCGAAGTGACGGAAGATATTCATGGAGGCTGTGAGATATTGATCATATTGATGTAGAAGTTTTTGACCATACTGAATACCATTTTTGTTGTTGCTTGAGATAAAATCGATCCCCGGACGCACCCTGAATTTTAAAGACAAAGATTAAAGAATTGTGTGTAGTACAGTACTGTGATGCGGAATGTTTTAACGTTGATTCAGTGTTCCCACTTGCTAGAGTGTAAAATTAAATGGAAGCAAAGGAAAATTTCTCGTTTGAACTTTGGATTTCAAAAGTCCATTTACAACGTCGATGAGGTCATTCACTCCGACGAGCTACAGCATTTAAAAATTTCCGACTTGTACGTTACGAAACATAAATTTATTTTAGACTTCGTCGTCTCGGCGTGGCTTTGCTGGCCTCGATGTTGCTTTTCCTTCGGATTCCTTATTCTTTTTTTTTTCTTGCGCTTGAAATTCGTGGGAAACTGCTTGAGAAAATCCACGTGAATGTCCTCAGAAAATACAGTATGAGAAAACTTGCTGAGGCTTTTTCTGGCGTCCCGTCGTTTCGTTGTGGTGCCAAGGTGGTGGTGGTGGAGGAGAGGACGGTAATCTCAGCTCAGCGCTTCCGTCTTGTTTGTCCACGTCAACTGCTGTTGGTTTCTTTTTCTTAATCTTTCTAGACTGACGGGATTCTGGTTGGACGTCATAAGAGTGTACAGTAGTTCTTTTTTCCTTACAAATAAGATGGGAAGGACTTTGTGTTCTCAGCTAAGAAAGTCAATTGTTTTCGGGTAACAGTCAACCTTTCGTAGACGGGCCAATATGTGTTCAGGATGAGGATGCGGAAGTTCAAGGTTGATTCTTTGCCGTTGTTTTCATCCGTCAGAACTGATTTTTTTTAGAAAACTTTTATGAAAAAGAATTGTTATTCATTCTTATTGAAATTATTCTTCTTGGCCAGTAAATTGAGAGATGTCCAATACTGGGATACCGGGAAGAACATTTAATCGTAACAAGTGGCTCCAATTATTTCTTGCGTGTCGAGAGCAATTCTGAGAATGCTATCACGGTGTTAGTCATATCCAAGAAATGCTTTACGGACATTTTGAATGAAAGAACTGCCGTACAGTATTTTGACTGACCATGAGCCCAGTGGCTGCTTTCTTCTATTGCTCTCGTCAATTTTTAAATCAGTGATGGCGTTTTTCATGTATAGTATTAGGTTTACGAACGTTAATCAATTTTTAGCATTTACAGAACGTTCTTCTGGTGGACGATGTTCACGCAGATGTTCTAGCTTTATTTCATTTTGTTCCCTCTGCGATAACGATAAATCCGGATTTTTTTTATTTTTAGAAAAAAAAAGAATCCTGTTCGAATTTATTTTCATCCAAAACGAATTTTAACTTTCGGGGAAGTGGCTTTGACATTCATTTGCCGGGTACATACTGATATGATCCGTCTCATTTTATGCGAGGTGAATTTTTCGTGCGTCACGCTCACTAAATTTGGAGAGATGGGTAAATTAATCCGTTTAATCGACCAATTCTGAGGAATTATTGCATTTTCAAAAGTAATCCTTGAACATCCTGGGTGAATATTCAGGGATACTCCGGAACGTATGAACGTGAATGCCATTTGTCCCCGCATTGATGGTTTCCTTAACGAATGCAGAGCTGTCCCCTGAATTTCGCTGCGTTTTTCTTTATCACGGTACCTGTATGTCATCAGTATTCGAATATAGAAACGAATAATTGTATTTAATTTTTCAGAAAAAAACGATGCCCCGCGTACTCTTGCAGAATACTTGAAAATCTCAGGATATGTATTCAACTGGTGAAGAAATTTCTAAGATGCTAGTGAGCTGCTTGTGCCCCTCTCCGTTGCTTAACATTTGATACGAATTATGAAACAGTTAATCATTGCCCGAATGACCATAGTTATTCTGTACCACATAATGCGTTGCCTAGTTTCAAAATACAAAAAGCCATCGGCAGTCTTTAATTAAGATCCAGTTTATGGGTTGGACTGTTTTTCCGACGAGCATTTTTAGCTGCTTTGAATCAAAGCGTGAGTCTTCGTGGTTTTTTAAATGATGAAAGGAATTGTTTTGGACCCGGACGAAGGGGGAAGGGATCTGATGGGAGTTGTTGACCCATCCGTAATTACGAGCCCGTCACCCGCTGTTCATTTCGCGTGAATTTCCGGTGATGGTGAATTACTCTTCACGTCGACGGATGGGGAGTGTGTGTTTCGTTCAGCTGCTCTGCATGCGGTACGAGGCTAGAGTAGAAAACGTGGATGGCCATTTATTTTCGCACTTTCATTGCCGAAATTTGATCAGTACAGTAATTAAAATTGGTTAAAAGGGAAGGAAAAGGGGTGCAATTTTCAATGAGTGTTACACGTTGAGCTTGACAATCGTTCTTAATGTTGCTGTATTTTATTTTTATTCTTTTTGTTGCAGAATTCGGGACAAAAAAATGTGGCTCGACATTCATTTTCGCACTGTATTTTCGAGGTTAAACGATTGATTAAAATTGGTGACCACGAAATTAAATTGTTATAATTAGTAATGAGTGAGTCGCACGTTGCGTTCGACATGTTCTTTATTGGCATAGTTATTAATATTACAGTGCAGTAATTAATTTCTATTCTTTCTTGAATCATGTAATGACATGGTTGTGTTGTGCAGTACAATACTTCAGTGATCTGTTATTATTTTAGGTGTTGTGTGATCAGTTGAAGCTGGATTGAGCGAGTTTTTTTTCCGAGCCAGATGCTTTGTCAACTGTGCGATTCCTTTATTTTTTATTGATATTAAATTACTGTATCGGAAGTTTTGTAAACAAAAATTAAGGGGTTCTCGATTTTTTTAGCTGGTTCGGATATTTTTCCCCGAGGCAAAACCAATTTTCATGAAATAGATATACGGTATGTAAAATATTTTAGCCTCCATCCGCATGCAAATTGGGCTCATATTCGCTGCAAAATGACCGATCATTATCGTTCGGAAATGCTTTTATCCCTCGTGCTTGTGCATGACTGCAGGATCGTGTTGAACGTGGTGCGAGGGTCGGTTCAGAAGTGTTCGCAGTGTCTTGAAATGCATTTTTACGAGTACCCAAGTTTTTCCAAGTTTTTGAAGCAAAATAATTCCAAGGTGTGGCATTTATATCAAGGTATAAAACGAGACTCTATTCATTTTCTAAGAATTCTCGTCAGTTGAAGCCCTGGCTCGGAAAAATGTTGGCTCCTCAATTGAAAACTTAGGACGACCTTAACATTTGCTATTGGCAGTAAAATTGTTGAGTTGATGGTCCTTCTTTCTGGGATATGGCCACAGTATTGTATTATATTTCGGATATCGTCCCTGAAAGAATTTTCCGCGACAGTATTCGAAATATTTGGCCTTATGCCTTTATAAAAATCGCGCCCATCTTCTTGCATCTGATGTGGTAAGCCCAAAACTAACACAGTGTATCGAGCAACGCTCATAGTTTTGACGTTGGATTTACTGTTTATGAATGCTTCAGTTTTTTTTTTTCATAATTTCGGGTAAATTCGAAATGCTGTTTTTGAAAAGTGTCTAAAATTCTTCAATCGTATGCTTACCTTCTCTTTAATATGTACAGTAGCAGGAAGGTTTCAAATTCGAAATTTCGGGAGTTCGTCTCGTGATGTCGACCCATCAAAAAGATGCTACCCAGGGTGGGTATCTTTTGACAGCGTGTCAAGGTTTACTATGGAAAAGAGAAGTGGGAAGTGGATCCAGCAGTACGAGATCACATTTCTCAATTATTATTGATGACAAGATAGAATCAAGTTGAGAACGCACATGTTGATTGCCTGCGCTCACTGAATCTTCGTGTTTTTTTTTTATCCTCTTTTCCTTCCCTAACTTTTTACGAGTGCTATATCGTGAATGATTCATGTACAATTCAAGCGAAGAGCTTCTTGGGCACTATTATAGAAGCTTAAGTGTGTTTTCATTTGAAATTTGTTGCTGATTTTTTTTGGAAATAAACGAAGACGAAATTGAATTGGCCGTGAAGTTCAAGGATTTCTCAAGATTCTCTGGTTTGAACAAATCA